AAAGATGATGGAGAGCGGCTGAGCAATAACCTCGGCCAGTTCCCTCAGCACTCTTGGGTGCATCCCATCTGGGCCCATAGATTTTTGAGTGGCCAGAAGTTCCTTYTCTTACTAATAAACATAGCTGTTGCTTGGTTAAGTAGGGCGGTCTGGATACACAAAGGTTCTTGCATCAAATGCAGTGTGATTGATTACTGGGCTATTGTTGGGGATGAAAAACTGTCACACRGGACTGCAGTGACTGCTTCAGGAGAAGTCTTCTGTCACCCTATTCAAGGTCATCAGTCCCTCACCTGGAGGGCAACAATGCGAGGAAAAAAAAATGAGCTTGGAGTTAGAGCAAAGCTTGTGTGCCCCAAAAAGTTTTGTTACTAATTTTTAGTCTTTAGTCTGCTATTGAGCTTGGTTTGAGACTTTAAGACTCAGATTAACACTTGAAGATAATATGTCTTATACCTTGGAAGCAAAAGGAAGACTTGGACCTTCTGCCTTTCCAATTCTGCCTTGTCATTTTTGTACGTTCTGATTCTCTTAGTGACAAGATCTGACTACTGTTGAAGATGGGCTGCTTTGTTGCTTGTGCCATAAACCAGAAGGTAAAACTGAAAAGCTGAAACTCCTGGTGTGTTAAACTCAAGATGACTTACTAATTTGTTTTTTTCCTTGTCCTCTAACTAAACAATGCTGCTTTCTTAGATTATACTATACTATAAATTGAGTCCTCTAGTCCTCCACACTTGCATCAAGCTGTATAAAATAGCACTGACCTACTTGCATCTGTGTGCTGCTTAACAACTGGTTCCACTGTTGTCTTGGGTGTTGTCTCTTGCTACAGCCCAAGGTGAGCTGTGCTCTTCAGACCAGCACAGATGAAGGGAGACTTCCTGCTGTGTCCGCAAACATTGTGGGCCAGCGTGAGTGAGCTGCTGCGCCTTGCAGCGTGGAGCAGTGGGTGACTCAGGCTTACTCACAACACAAACATGCGCGAGCTTCCTGGTCCAGGAGAGAGCCAGGAGTCCTTAACAGCCCCCTGCATGAATAGGAGACTTTAGAAACATCTTGTTTGAATAAGCTGAGGTCACACCCTCAGGTGTCAAGAGTCCTGTCAGATGGAGGGATTTTGCTTCTGTAGTGAAAAGGACTTGCAATACACTTCCTGTTTGGCTCTGTTTTTTTTTTTTGGCTAACCAGAAGTGCAACTATGTATTAACGGTGGCTCACACAGGTCAGTGGGCAGCCACTAAACCAAGTGGAGGTGTAGGCAAATTTCTGGGGAGGAAGAAAGATCACACTGGAGCAAGAACATRCCCTTTTCATTACAGTATCTGAAAATAAGCATTGGTTCTTAAAATAAGCTCCCTTTTTGTCTTTACTTGGGAGCACGGAAGGCCACATTAGAGCTGTGAAGAGATATGGAGAGAAAAGCTGGACTAAGTTCCGTACAAACCCCTAAAACATTGCTTTAGTAAAAAGCAGACACTTGCATCATGGTGCATTAGATGAGTATTTGAAGCTACCAAGATGCATGCTATTGCAGCTTTAATACTTTTGTTGATGTAGGATTCTGGTCTGGCTTAATAAAGCTGGGGGAGGAGCAAAATTAAGGCTAGAAATACTGCTTGTACATTCARTTTGACATAATGCTCCCTTAAGAGGTCAACTTTGCAACAGCTCTGACAGAGTCAGGCAAGTAACTGCAAATTAAAATAGAAATGGGAAAGGGTGGGGAAAGGTCAGAGTAATTTATGTTGAAATGAGTGCAAAGAAGTGTTTAAGAGAAGTACACCAAGTCCCTAGGGTCTTTYATTTGTGCCTTTTTTTTTTCTTTTCTCTCTTTTTCCTGCAGAAATCCTCCACTTATGGCCAGAATACTTGCTTTACTTTGTGTGAAAGTGGGTGTTCTCTTTAAGATCATCTCCTTGAGGAGGACATAAGGGCTTGGAGGTATCTTGCCCTCTCAGAACACATAGTGAAAAACTAAATGTTTAGGTGAACTTTCTTAAGGGACTTATTCCTTTCCAAGCATGTAGTTATGCCACAGTTTGATTGAATTTGTGCAGTGCCTCCTTTCCACTGAAGAGTAATTTATCAAACTACTGCAATTATAAGGATTTTTTCAGCTCTTTAAGAGCTGTCACCTGCCTGGAAGGAGAGTATTCCAAGACAGGAACTGGCCTTCTAGATCTAAAGAGTGTTTGGTAGTACATGGGCCAGGTGCTTGTAACCCTAAATTGTGATGGTGTCTGTGTGGGCAGTAGTCTGGACTGCTTGGGGGTGCATTTTTGTTTGCAAAACGGCTGTTTTTTTCCATTCAGAACATTAACAGCATTATCATGCCAAAAAAAAAAAAAAAAAAAAAGATGCAGGTAAGCGACCAAGCGATCTCTTGCACAGAACTCTGAGCTCTGGTGAGAACCAAATGTGACTTGTTTGCAGGAACTGCAAACCCTGATACCGTTATCTGAGAAGATCTCTCCACAAGGGAAGTGAGAAATGGTCAAGTGACCTGAATGGAAGAAACGTCGTGTATGTGGTGCGAGAAACATGCTGAAGTGTCCTTTCTGGAAGTAAGGGCTTCATGAAGAAATTGTCCCTCCCTCAGGCAATGACTGCAGCCTCTTTCTCCTGGATATGAAATGGCTGAGATGGCCATTTTGCTGCCAAACCAGTAGAGCAAGAAGTGTCTCCTCTGCAGGCCTGCTACACAGCTGTCCTACCGAGGGCTGCTGATGGTGCAAGCGCAGAGGWGCTCCTCTGTGAGCACAGAAATTACACCAGCTGTGCGCTCTAACTGAGACTTAATGAGAGGGCCCTCCAAAAGGAGGGCTGAGCCAGGCTGGTTGCAGGGAGATGACAAGATGAGTGTGTGACATCAGACCCAAGTGAAACAGTGACACTCCTTGGCCTCACTCTCTGCATGTTCTGAAAGTGCCCTGACACCATGCTGGGAAACGATTCTAGCCATCCACATGCCACTTCTGAGCATTTTCTTAAGCACAGTTTATCTGCAAAGTTTTGATGCACAGGGTAAGGCTTGGCTATTGCACATACCCACCTGTGATTCTGCAGAAAAGTATGTGCCTGTAATGATTCTAATGAATAGATCAGAATTCTATTAATTCTCATCACTGCATTTGGTGTTGATAATTTTGTCTGATCTCCAACCTCATAATGCCCTTCTCAACACACTCTTAGTCAGTGTTTTTTTCTCCTTAGCCTCTTTATTGCCTTCAAAAATCCCTAAGGTTTTTGAACAACTAATAACTTGTCTGGGCCTCTAAGCAGCATGAGACCTCAAGGAATTGCCCTGATTGCCTCAGAGATTCCCTAGGTTTGTTGCAATGTCTCTCTTACCCTAAGTTCCACTTCAGGCAACTTCCCTGCCTGCAGGGAGATAGATGGAGGGCTGTGTCCCCTGGACCTGTGATTTTTGCCTTAAATGACCCTTCCTTTCCATGCCAGAACCAAGAGTGACCATGTGGTGAGAGGTGCCTGGTGCCCTGGGCAAGGCCTAGCCATGATGTGGAGGGGGAAACTTCCTAATATCCAGAGGGATGGAGAGGTGGTGATGGGTTTTGTGGGATTTCTGGTCCTGCAGAGGAGATGTGTCCAGTTGTATGGGTTCTCTGTGCCTCAGATTGCACTACAGTGGCTGCAAACATTTGGAAATGAGGAGACACAGGTCAGTTTGAGGGCCTGGGGGAACCTAAAGGATGGTAACGGAGCCATCAGGGCTGATGTGCACTTAAGCCTCTGTGTAATGAGGTGGAGTGTACACGCTGCACACTAAATCCACCCCAGCTGCTCCAAACTGGGGTTATGCAGGGACTCCTGTGATAAAGACCAACTACAGAAACTTTGACAGCAGGCAGGAAAAGGCAGAGGAGCTACTTTTGGTGCAGCTGCTAGGCTGTCTTTGCACAGCCTTGGAAGGTGGTGGGAAGCTGAGCTCAGAGTAAACTCCATTTCACTATCCTTATTTACAGGGGAGGGTTCTTGCAGCCTGGAGCTAAAAGGCAGAGCTGGTCCTCCAGGTTTGGTAAAGCCTTACTAGAAGCAGCTGAGGAACTCAACTGTGTGGAAAAGCACATGCACACATATGTAAAATACATTTTTCCTTCTCTTGAAAAAAAAAAGTAGGGACAGTACCTAGAAAATGCAGGGTAGCTGGTGCAAGGTGTGAAGATCCATCTGCACCTGCAGCTCACAGAGACAGTTGTGGCAGATGCAAGTCCACAAGGTGGCAGTGACTGACTGCATGAACCTGAAAGATGGTTCAAGCTTCTAGATATCCCTATGGCAACATCTGGCCTCTAGAATTTGGAACACCTGGGATAATAGGTGATTGCAGCAGATGCACCAGGAGCACAATTCCAGGGATCAAAAAGTTCCAGAAGGTCACCCCTCCCACCAGCTGAGTCAGTCTATTCAGTTTCTTAATTATTGCTTCAAGGAAGCAATAAACCTTTCTATGTAACCTTTTTTTTTTTTTTTGGCTCTGCCATATCCCGTTGAGAAAAGATGCAGTAGGTGTGCACCACCAAACAAAATAGCAAAGTGTTTTAAGAGGAGGACTGTAACACAAACGAAGTGTGAATTAATAGATTTATTGTTTATTATTTCCATAATTTTAACTATTCTTGAGACATCTGTTTCATGATGAAGTCAATAAGAAGGTAAATGAGAAGATTAAAAAAGTCAACCATCCACATGAGCAAATGGAAATCCCTGTCTGTTAGCCTCTTCCCCTATAGCAAAGTTTTAGGCAAAACAATAGGCGTTAGTAATGAAATGTGTCATTAACAGGCAAAATCTGTCATTTCCTTTCTACAAGCCAACTTAAATTTGTTTCAAATCAACTTTGGTGAAATTTGACTTAAACTATTATAGTTACGGTTTTCTTATGCATAATAATAACTAACTKTAATAGTTTCTGGACTTTGTATATAGGTTTGGAGAACATTCTCAAGTTCTTCAAAAGCCAAACCATTTGCATACACCTACTTATTAGAAAAAGYACTTTAAAAAGTTATCATCACAAAACATTCAGCAAAGAGACAGCAATGTGCCTTTTGAATAATAAGGCAAAGGCACTTAAGTAGAATCACATCCTCCTGTGGCAATATTTCAGAAACAGGATATGTGACCTTCAGACCTTTACAACAGCTTTTCCAAGATTTTCTCCTTTTAACATTCCCATGAAAGCTGCTGGCATATTGTCAAATCCTTCAGTGATTTGTTCATGGTACTTAATTTTACCCTGTGAAAAGAAGAACAAATGGCTAAGTATTCATTTTATCAGCTTTTTAACAGCAGTTTACTTTTTCCTGGCTTTTTGAGACTAAATTGCTACCAGATTCTCTCCAGCTTGTATGTTCTGGCTGAAACAAATGTTAGCAAGTTCACACCAGGGTAACTTTGCAAAACTAGGTGTGCATATGGCTTGTTCCATGACAGGATCTCTTTTTGTATCAAGATCCTCCACTGGAGTCACAACAGAACAAAAGTCACTGTCGCAGAAACATACCACAACAGAGTTAGTGCAACTTAGTCCCCCCAAAAATGAAAAGGTAAGGGATTATTTCCTCAAAGGCAGGTTCATCTCTATCTATAATTAAGCATGGAATTGCAAATCTAAGTGACTAGAAGCTGAGTGTCCCCAAATCCTCAATTTATAAAACCTAGAACATTTTAGCCTTCAGTGCTCCCTCTCATAAACTTTCCACAGCTACAAACCACATGTTAAACTTGGCCTCGTGTYAGAGAAATAAAATTATAAAAAAATCTCTAACTCCCTACAAAGCTTGGCTCCCAATTCCACCAAAGCACCAATTCTTGTCAGTAATTCTGTCACAATACAACAGAAATCCTTGCAACTGAAAGCAGAGTGAAAGAGAAAGAGAAATTGCTCTAGTTAAACTGACAGGAAAGTGTTTGAATTAAACTGGAAGGATCCTTTTTGAAAAGCCTGCACCTATTCTGTGCTATATCTAAGTCAGRACCAACAGCTGGTAACATGTATACAGCATGTTTCATATAGTCTGAGTGTCTTCAAAATGCTCAAGGACAAAGTCAGGTGAAYGAAAAAGATCTCATCAAAACCTCACACACCAGTTATAATAAGAAACTCCTTGCAAAATGGAAGCATGGTGGGAGTACACCTGCTGTATTACAGGAAACCACCACTTTCTTTCATACCTCCAGGACCCATTTTAGGAGTGCCTTTTGACCTTCCTCCCGGCGGTTATTCCAGCGGTGAACAATAAACCCTTCCATTCGAAGCTCGTTGAAGATCATTGGATACTGCATGTAAGGTCCTGCAAAAGACATAAAACCAGCAAACTACCTTTAGAAAGAGTTCTATTGAAAACTGGATCCTATGCATAACAAGAAGCTTTCAGCTTCTTTAGCTAGAAAAGTGCATCACTTTGTTCCAGCTAGAAGTAACTTCTGTCCTTTCCAAACAGAAGTATCTAGGATTACATAATAAGGATTCCTGGACAGTCATCCAGGAAAGGAAAGACTATATCTCTAAAGCTGAGTTAAAGGCCCAACACTTGTGAAACAAGATAACTCAGGAGTCAAATACTTTAGCTGAAATACTTCAGCTTCATCCTGACAGTATTGTTTAGCTAGTTTGACAGCCAATTTAAAATACAAAAACCTTACAATACTCTTTGAAAGTTGCCAATTTCTCATATTCTTTCCAAATCCTAAATAGAGATTTTAAGTATCTCTTAGGTAAAAAGAGATATTTTTTAGTATTTCTTAAGTATCTCTAAGTGTCTGTTAGGCAGTTCACAATAGGTGATGGTCTTCTCACAGTCAAAAGCCCATCCTTTCTTTAAAGTGATCTTTATCTTAGAAGACAAATTCTGAAAATGGCACGCTGCTGAAAATGAATATGCATCTTGGCCATATTTTTCACCAATTTCACTGGTAGCCAATTTCTTGGCACTCATGAAATGGAACAGCAAACTGAAACTAAGCTGTATTATTTAAAAAAAGCTGACAGATAATGCATTCTCCCCTCTACAAGCAGGTACTGTGCAAATGTCATCATTCTACCACACATACCTTCCTTTATCTATCTGTATCTTACTTGGTTCCCCAGGGAATCCTACATGAATTTATTTTTTTCTTCATTTCTTATCAGCTGATGCGCACCACCTGTTATGAATGTGTACAAAGCCGGGTGAACCTAAGTATTCATAGGGAGACCAGCTATTCCAGGACCATCTTCAGCTTTCTGAATGTGTACACACACACACACACACACACACACACACACACACACACACACACACACTCAAATGGCATACTGAATCAACCATTTTAAAAAATGAGGAGTCTCCCATCAGGTTTCTTTACCCTCACTTAACAGGAACTAAGCTTAGACACAAGAAAGCAGCCTCACACCTTTCTGAGGCACCGAGTCGTTGTACATGGAGATAGCTCCACAGACGGCAATCCTCCCGTACTTCTTCATCTGGTGAATGGCTACACTGGTGAATTCTCCACCCACCTATAAGAAATCAGAATGAATGCAGTATTGGATAAAATCCAGTTTTTGGTACTGACTGCCACAGCTTGCCATCCTGAATTTGCTAAAACAAACRGGCAAAAAAAGAACAGGCTAAAATAGAAAAAAATGCTAATTTTCACCRAAGTTTTCATGTTACGCTTGTTCAAAGTCTATAAGAATTCTGTATCASCATCTTATGAAGAAATCGCTGTGATCACAAGGAATGAAGTTCAACTCCAATCTCCRTTTCCATGATACTTGTTTTTGATATATTGTGCATGATTTACCCTTAGAGAGACTCCTTTAAAGAGAATATCCCGGCCCACCTCTGCTTTTTCCTGACACAAGACTGCACTTCTGCTCATTTGCACAGCTGTCAAACAAGCTTTTGATATTCTTCAACTTAATARTTTTCTTCCAAATGTTCCCACTGAAGAATTTCAATTGAGAAAAAGTTGTGAAAAAAAACTACTGCTGGGACAAGTCTGAGAGGAGAGGAAAGAGAATGGGTGTTAAACACTGTTTAAAACCTCAATCGTACATGACATTAAGGCTGGAACACAGTAGAAAAGCAAGCAAACTCTGGCCACAGTGACAAGTGCTTTGCCCTGACACAGTGCATGCATAAGGATTCCCAGAAAGACATGGGCTAGATGCTGGTTCACAYAGAAACACTGCACTGTCATTCTCTGGTCAATGGTCAAACTGCTGAAAGAAAGACCAGCTAAAGGTGTAATGACAGCTGCCCCTTACACCATATAGCAACTAAGGGAGTTCTGATGTCCGTCTGCTGCTTGCCATTCTAACTCTCACTGGTTTGCCCAGTTGACATGTAGGCCAGAGCAGTGCCTTGGCTAATATCCCTGTGTCCTGTACACACAYGAGCTACACCAGTACTAGGAAGGGWTTTTTTAAAACTAAAAAAATGAGAAAGAGGGAGGGAGGGAGTGCTTGTTCTCTCCTTTCATCCTCAACACACTCTGTCTCCCTCCTGACATTAAACTCTCTTAGTGCCCAAATCAATGTAGCCACTTTCAGTTTACCAAGAACAGCTCCCAGCTCTTCTTAACTCTAATTGTACCTGGGAGAGGTCAGRAATGCTCAATAGAAAGGTCTAGCAATTTTTCAGGTTGGTCTTGCAATTATTTTTTATATCTATATGTATGTAGTCACGTGGACTGTGCACAGCAGGGCCACTCACTCTCATTCTGCTTCCAAAAACAGCAGAGAATTGTCTGTGATCCAAGGCAGGTCCATAAGTGAACAGCAACCCTCTGCCAAGCTTTGGTTAAATGTCTTCTGCTTCCCTCTCCTCTCAAAAATCAGACACATTTTTGAGAGTATTCTCTCCATTCACCAGGGTAAAAAAAAAAAAAAACCCAAACAAACAAAAAAAACCCCCACAGCAGCAGTCCAGGCTTATCTTTTAATGTTTGTCCTTTCTATTACTTCTATAGTTAAGTTTTGGAAAGGACCTGAGAAGCAACAAGCTCAAGGAGATCATTTCTCCAAGGTGTTTAAACTGCAACGACTTTCTGCCACAGTCTGAGGAAGGACAGTGGTGTCTTCTTGGCCCGTCCCTGCCTCTGAACTCACGTTATCAAAGAAACAGTCATAGCCATCAGGAGAGGCTTTACGCAGTGCTTCCTCCAAAGATGTAACAGTCTTGTAATTGAAGGCTTCATCAAAGCCAATTTTTTTCAGAAAAGCAACCTTTTCATCTGAGCCAGCACAGCCAACCACTTTGCAACCCTGAAAGGAAAGAAAGAAAAATATTTCTAAATTCCCTGACAACACAGACTGACACCTACGAGAAGCACAGGGCTTGCCCTGAAACTCAGACTGTCATGAACATGTCACTTTGAATTTCCYAGAAAATTCAAAATTAGCTCTGCTACATCTCCAGCAGTTTTTCCCCTCTCAATTGCAGATACCCCTTCGGAGGTTTTTGCCCTCCCCTCAGTCTCCTTATAATTTGTGGCCTTATTCCTCCTCCAGATCAGTCCTCTATAGCTTAAGTATGAATAGTTTAAGCCACTCACTCCAATTTTAGCAAGTTGTCCCACCACAGAGCCCACAGCTCCAGCCGCTGCATTAACCAGCACCGTATCTCCTGGCTTTATCTTGCAGACTTCCAACAGACCAAAATATGCAGTGAGGCTAGGGAGAAAAAGAAAGGGTGTTTTGTGAGGATAAAAGACACTACATACAAAGGTGTGACTTCACCACATTAAACAAATATAGTCGTGACCAGAACAAGGTTAATTTTTCCCCATTCTTTATGAAAAACTAGTTAATTTGAAAAATGATTCATCCAAACAGCATCTCAAATTAGCTTGTGAGCACATCCAATCATGCTTAAAGTCTCCAGGAAGTTCAGAGAAGCAAGATACACTACTGGGAAACAGGATGCTGAGGTAGAAGTCTACTTTAGCTGAAGACAGGTTTTCTTGTGTTCAGTAGCCAAAAGGAGGTATACAGAGATCTGCTTTATAATTTGACAACCTAATTATGAGTTGGAAGAGAACAAATCCAGACTAGACATGTATCAGTTGCCAGCTAGTTCCTATCACATCAAAAGAGAAATGAAAATGGTCATCACAAAGCCAGGCTTGTAGAAGAAGAAAACAAGGAAGAAGGAAAGAATAATAAATAATTAAATTAAAAAAAAAAAAAAAAAAAAAAGGAATGTTCTTTCTTCTGACCTATAGATTGGGCCAAACTTCGGTTCCTCTAAGGACATCCTTAAGCTTTTTTTCATATGGGCTTTACTAGAGAGAAACAAGTTAAGGGAAAATGCCATACAAACATGCAGAAACAACCTGACCAGTGAAAAAATCAGAGACAGTTTCCTTTGGACCTCTGTACTCACCCAGGCATGCCGACTGTCCCAAGAGCTAGAGATTTGGGGAGAGATTCAGGCCASGTAGGAGGAAGAGGATAAAGATCTTTCCCACTGGAGATGAAATGAGTTCTCCAACCAGCATTAGCCACTACAAAGGATCCCACGACAAAAGCAGGATTTTTGCTTTCTATAATCCTGTTTAAAAGAAGAGGGGAGAAAAAAAAATACGTCTGAGACAGATCTCTACTGCTCTGGAAAAGAAATGCTATCAGGCCTTGCCTGTGGCTCTGTTAGAGGAAAGGAATACTTCATGCCAGGGCATGCATTTCAAGATGCTGATGGCTTCCAGAGACTTTTCTGAAATGACTACTCACACTTATTACTGGAGGAATATTGGGTAAGATGAAGTCCTAGCCTTGCAAATTTTATGTTCTTACACAAATACCAACAATTTTGACTAACACCAATTTGTGATGAATTCAGACTAGGCTTCTGGGAAAGAGAATGCTGGGTTTAAAGGGTGTAAAAGCAAGAAGCTGAGTCACAGGTAGGCTAGAACGAACAGTTCTCCTTTCAGCAAATCTGAACCAAATCAGGAAATCAGGCTGAAGATCCTGACGATACAGTATCTTGAGACAACAAATCTCTCCTTAAGACACTTCAAGAAATAGCACCTAATGGGAGAGAGGTTCATACTTTTCATACAAGCTGAATTTGAGAATGAATGAATTTGAGATCAGATAGCCCTTTTGGCTATGAGCTGTATCCTAACTGACCTTGAGATAGTTTAAGGTATGCAATTATTGCATATCACACTTTAAAATGTGAAGCTGACACTTCATGTCAGGTAAAATAATTATTGGTCTTTCATTCTTGTAAAAATCACCTCTAAAAATATAATCTGTATGAATAATGTATGAGTGGTACAGGAGATACAAATGCTCTCCAAGAAGGGAAAAGAGGCTCACAAAGAATAAACACTGGTCAACCTGTTATGGACAAAGAACGCAGTTGTGACAATATGTAGATATACATCAATAAAAGGTAATACAAGACTTCAAATCTCTCAGGGGGCAGTACATTCGCTTATAATTTGGAATCTGATGGGTAGTGGATAACAAGGTGAGAAGACAAGACAAAAAATTACTGAAGATCTTACCTGGCAACCTGCGTACCTATCATTATGTCTCCTTCTTTCATGTCCCTTTTACTGTAAGGTCTGTAATACAGCAGAGAGAGTGTTTATTGTAAGTAACTACAATGATGTTCCAGATATGCTGTAGAGCAGTTGCTATTGGCTTACCATAAACAGCACAAACAGTCATTCTCAAAAGAAGGCAGATTTCTTTCTGTAATGACCTAAATTGGCACTTTCTATAACCAGTAACTCAAGTACTCCATCTTGACTGAATATTTTGCTGGAGTGTCAGAGGCAAGATGGCATTAATCTTGAGGCATGACACACCATAAGAATTACTTCTAATTCACTAAAGAATTACTTCAGAGACCAGTTTCTGTCAGACTTTTCCATAGTTCTTTGTGCCTGAATCATCATTACTTAACAACTTCAAACAGCAATTTCCTATTTAGAATACAAGTTCTTAAGCACAGGGTTGCTAAGTTTATCGTGGTGGCTACTACAACAGCACAGTCTCATTTGAACTCATTGTACTCCAGGGGAGGAGACAGCAAAAGGAATAAACAGAGTCCAAGGAAACTCTTGGGCTGCAGCAAAGTCCTAACATTCAGCTGAATCTGGCACAGCTCCACAAAGCATTACAAAGCATCACAATYTACACACAACACTTAAAACAAAGCCAACAAAAGCATCCAGCATTCTGGCAGTGGAGGAAGCTTCCACGGCTTTTACTCTTTAACTGGGAGCTCAAATGAGTTGAACTAGTCAGCAACAAAAGAAGAAAAAAGTTATACCTCATGTAAGGATCAACACTGAGAAACACTGATTCCAGGAGAATCTCTGCAAGAAATGGCAGAACAAACTCATAGACATCAATAGTACAGTAAATCATAGGTTCCACAAATCAATCTTAACAGCTACAAGAATTCCTGTAGCTCATAAGCCCCATATCCCACTGACCTTCATGGATAAACTACTAAAAACAACTACTACATTCATTGACTTCATTTGGATAAACATTGTGCTATTTGTGAAAATAGGAAGTATCTTTTCAGAAGACTAGCATACTTTCTGTGTTACATTATTATTTACCTCCTCTCTATGTAGAACACTCAACAGGCTAGCCCCCTAAGCAAAAGACTGTTTTTTTGTGACCCAAATATAAAATGCCTTGTCAGGATTCAACCACCAGAGAGTGCTAAGACACTAATTATCATGAGACAGATTAATAAGCATCACTTTCCTCTCTTAGAGAAGAAACAAACACCAACAGCAAAAAACCCACACACATTTTCTAGGTAGCTTAGCTTCATGCTCTTTGTTGTCTCCTATGTCACTTCTGAAGTATATTGCTAAACAAATGTTAATTTAAACTTTCATTCACACATAAATTTTAACATTCAATTCCACACCTAATAACACCTTTTATTTTAAACAAACAAAAKAGCCTATGACAACTTTTCACGTGGAAAGCATGTAGGCATGTTTGGGTTTAATAACTCATTAGTTTGTGTGCCATGGTTCATTTCTCTTTCTGAACTAAACAAAATCTGGCTCTTTATTGCAGTTGGTTTTCAGATGATAACCATTTCATTAATTTTCTCCCACAATCAAAAGCTTTGCCAGGATGCACCATATGCAATTAGGCAGGGTGGGACTTTTAAAGGCAYGCCACCATCATGTCCAAGTTGGCAAGAGCTCCATCATCAATTTCAGTGAGACTACCACAAGGCATTTCTTAAAACCCACCAAGTCCATCTGCATGCATGTTCTTCAGCAACTGTCCTGCTCTGTCAAGGCACATGGATTGCCATAACACATGCCAAGCCAATTCCAAAAGTTCAAGAAACATACTACTACCAGAAAAAAAAATAATAAAAAAAATATATTTATATAAAAATAAATAAAGGATATCGTTTTACTTACCTCCATCCTTTAGTTTGGGGAGCTCAATCTTCTTCAGGTCAAAGTCACTGGGTTTGGGGAAACCTTCAAAATGCTTCTTCAGAACCCAAGCCTTGGCAGTCRCCATCCTGCACAACAAATTCAAAGGATACCTGACAAAGAGTTGTTAAAGGGCATTAAGTTGTTAACAGGAACTAGTTTATACTTTAGGGACCAAAAAAGGTCAAGCATCCTGATTATATCCTGTCACACAAGAAGGTTTTTGCTTGCAAAGCCCACAAAAATATCAACCGATCAAGCAAATAACTGAAACAATCTCACTACTAAGCAACCAAGCAAGAGCTTCTTGCAAATACTAGACCTCTCTGCCTGCTGCGCAGTAACTCCTGCAGCAGTGAGAAAGTTCCAAAAGAAGCTAGTGGTAAATTCTAAAGAAACTGGAGAGAGAAGATTTGCTGCTAGTTAAGCATCCTAATCAGAGAAGAAAGAGAGGGAGGAAAATAGGAGGAAAAAAAAAAGGCAATTAACTCTCAGTTTTGCTCTTGCCATACGAGATGAGCAATGAATCTAAATTTTTCAAAGCCTAATCCAAAATAGAAAGCTAAGACAGATCTCTAAAATTCTAAGATTTTCAGTGACACCTCATGCTTTGGAAAAAAAAAAAAAAAAGTATCCCCAATTGCCAAGCTCCAAACTTGAACCTGTTAAAGGATCATTTTTTTCCTTAAAATATGACTTGCATTTGTTTTACCCTCACAGACTCACTCTTCTAAAAAAACACGAAAACAAGCAAAAATAAAACAAAATTTATACTTAGAGAAGGGCRGGTTGAAAACTCTTCTGTTGACGAGATCAGTCAATGAACTTCTGTGACTGACTCTGAGAGAGGACGGGCTTAAGTCACGCACGTTCCGAGAGAAAAAAATAATCTGCTTTTATCAGCAAAAGTGGTATCGCCTTCAAGGCAACTCCTTGGGCACAAGCTTAAGCCTTCAATAATCTCACACCGGGCACAACCCAAGAGAATCAACATTCTGACACTAAAATTTAAGATCACTTAAACAACTAACTCAGTATCTATTAAGTTTGACAAGCTAAATGGAATATGCTACATAAAACAGCAAAACCCAGAGTCCTAGAATCCACAAAACACCACACTCTAGAGACTGAAACTTCCCCCAGGAAAGGAATTTTTCAGATCGTATCTCACTAGTCTGGTCCTAAAATCCTTAAGAGTTCTGCCACCGTGGAAGAAATACTCAATTAAAAGACAATGAATAAAAACTCACTGCTCAATCCACTGTCCTTTAACAAGGTAAATGATCCATATGTGTATATGTATTCCATTGCCATGGCAGAAAATTATCATGAAATTTACATAGTCAAATGCCTGCATGGTCTCAAATAAAATCTTTATCCATGTGTGTAGTCTCACATTTTTAATGGTACCAGTATCCACCCCAAAAGATTAAGATCAATTTGATTATGTTCCCTTGCCCTGATCTCTGTAACCTGCAGAAGCACCTTAAGAAATGCTGGCAGGGTATGGCATCTTGCCTCACTGCACTGCTAAAGTGCATGTAGTGTAGCAAAAAAACTTGGTTCAGAGATTTCACTACCTTCTGCTTTATTTTCTTCCCATCAAAAATGACCACATAGATATGAAAGGTGAAAAGAATGAAGAAACCGGTACATAGCAGCATGTTTAACTATAAATACCTCAAGGCAGCAGCACTAATTAAGAAATAGAGACCTGAGAAAATAAACAAAACTTGTTAAAAGCACACAAGCTAGCACTAGGAAGAACAGGGCAAGCTCTGCATTATTTCGATTCACCAAACAGAACACACCTGATCTAGAAAACTGTCAGCACTCAGCAGTAATCTGCAATAAACTGGGAATCTTCCCTTCTTTTTATAAAATGTTGTGTATTGCACACAAATCTGTGCAAGCACAGCACAGACTCAGGGGTAGTTTTAGAAACTTCCACTAAAGAAGCTATGTACAGCAGGGCATGCATGTATTTCACACTAAAAGGCAGTATCATCAAACTCACTGTAAAAGCACTGCATTTTACAACACGCAGTGCTGAGCCATTTGGTATTAAAACAGAATAGCCAAACCTAGCACTCCTCATAGCCCATATAAAAATCAAAAGAACAAAGGTTATGAGATTAACTGCAGCAATTGCCATTTCACCTGTAAATAGATTTTAAAAAGTGAGGGAGTGCCATTTGCTCTATTGCTCCATTTTTTTTCCATCTGTGGCTGCATTTGCTTTGATATTAGCAGTGCTTATCTGTACCTTTAAACAGCAAATACCATTGTGACACTGTAACAACATAGCAAACTCAGCAAAAGACCTAGCAGGAGGAAAAGGCGAGTTCGATTCAAAGCAGAACCGACTTCAATTACTCTCTTACACACACATACTCACAAGCACTAAGATCTGCTTGTCCTAGTGGTCTGATCAGCACTCACATACACAGGCAGTCTGGTCAGGAATGTGGAGGGAGAAAAGGGACACTGATTCAGGCTCTCCAGGAGGTCTCTTGGTTGTCAGACACATGCTGATTCTGGATGTGCCTTTTTTGTACTGCTCAGGAGCTAATAGTGATTCAGAAGTGCTTTGTTTTCTCATCCTGTACCACCTCTGTGACTCATTAATACTTCTTCACTGCCCTTTTTTTTTCCTCTTTATCTGCGTGTTACAAAGCACCAACTCTCTCCTTTATCCTCCTACAAGTATTTCTCAATAACTTGAGATTTCAGTTTTGTCAAGATACAGGTGCCTTCTTTGAGGCTGCTCTGCATTTTCCCATTTCCCACTTAGAAGTGCTCTGAGAAGCTGCRAAAACATGTGCTGCCACCTTAACAACCTGCAAATTTAATTGCTATCAATACTTCTCAATATTTGTTATCCTTTTTCTACTGTTCTTTTGCATGCTTCCATGTCCAAACCTTGTAATTGCGTTACAAATTTCCATACTTTTTGTGACACATATAGCTTTCAGTACAGCATTTCAAGCAAGCATTTCAATAGAGCTTCTACAAACTACAAGATTAATTCCACTAAACCATTTTTAAAATTTCTTTTAACCGGGAACAAGACCATTTTTACCTTGATTCCTCAAATCTTGTACTGAAATCTAATTACCATCACCATTTCAAAGCCAGGGAGCTATGCTGCAGCCTGGGAGGAAGAAAAAAAAAGTAAGAAGGAAAAAAACTAAAATCCCACCACAGATATATACTCGAGGAGTGGATTCACAATCCAATTTCAGGGTTAGCAATGAAAGATTATTTGTATGTTTAGCTAGGAATTGATAAGAACTGCTGAGAACAAAGTTGGTTACACATGCTAAGGCACTCTGAAGGGTAAAGGGCAGTGATGCAATGTTTGTTGGAGATGTGCTAAAAGCACTGTTAGTCTGACAAACAGGTGAAAAGCATTTGCCCTACTCTAAGCACAGCCCACTATGCTGTGAAAGTACTTCGCTGTTAAACTCCGTGGGTTTGGATAATACATCTATTTCTGAACATACTTTGCAGACCACTTTAACTATCAGATCAAAAAGGAAGCGGTGATTTAAAAACATAGAAAAGACACGCAATGAGATCRACAAAAGAACTCTTGAAAACAATGCAATTTTGGTAAGCCACCCTCCCTTTTGAGGGGAAACCCTCAAAAAAGAATCAGGTGATGATATTCCATGTATGGAATTCTTACAAAGGAATGATTAAAGCTTTCAAAGAAATTGAAGTTCAAGACAAAATCAATACTGTTCTTCAAATCCTCTTCGTCCTTTGGTCTGGTTCATTAACCTCTCAAAAGGGAATGTTTTACATTATTCTCTATTAGCTTTTCCCATAAAATCCRGACACTTAGGAAAGAAGCAATGACTGTGGGAATCTCCATTTTGTGTACTAACCTCAGACCTGCAAAGCAAACATCCAGCTTGTGTTCTCATTCACTGTGAGCGGCACAAACTCCAACGCAGCTGCAAGCAAAGTACCTTTGGACAGGTAGTCATAACTCAATCCTCAAGATCAGAATAGGGAAAGAGGCTCACAAGACACAAAAAAAAATGCAGAATAAGGAAAAGATGAGAAARGGGTCTCACAAAAGATACTAGCAATTGGAGAGGAAAGCCAAAAGAGCCAGAACAAAGTCAGTTTCAGAAGCTGGAGAGAATTTGACTGGAAGATGAAGAAAAGATGGTGACATCTGAACTAAATCTGAAAATCTTCACATTAAAGTAGTAAAGCTCTTAGGAAAACTGTGAGTCAAATCAGAATACACAGCCACAGTAAAACCAGAAATCTTATTTAAACAATGCATAGAACTAGTTGTATCTTGTGGTAAGGCTTCCTAGCCTGAGCTCGTCCAAATCTAACCTTGAATACAAAAATGTCTTAGAAAGCTGTCAGTTAAAAATGCAAACTTAGAGTTAGGCTAACACTTCATCTTGCTCCTAGTCACAATGATTTTGCAGATATGACTATAATATTTGTCCTTCTACATCCATTCTGTGGCAGGACCAACTATACCATTAGCTACATAACAGAAAATATGATATAATGCCAAGTAGAATATTTCTCTCAGAAATAATTTATCTGTAGACTGATGCTGAGGAAAAAAATGCCAAGCACCTCAACAATAAAGTTTTTCAGGAAAAAATCACCTGATCCAGACTCCTTTTTCAGATTCAACTTACAAAGTGTTCTGTGGCATTTCAAAGATTTGTGCCAGGCAACAGTCTTCAGGGCTTTCTAAATCCTTAAAAAATAAAAATACCCTTACAATGATTTGGCTATAAAGACTATGTTCCAGAGACTACAATGATATTCCCCATACATAACCAACTGTCTGAGAGTAAATATGGCCTCCTACGAAAAGTGCCCAAGAACTTGTTAAAAACGATCCCTTCTTACTCTCTGGGTTAGCTATAGCAAAACTTTGCCCAAGGAAAAAAAAAAAAAAAAAAAAAACCACCATTTCCCAACTATTACTGGCAGACACTACACTGTAACTGTAAATACCTAAGCAAGCATGACAGTTCACTATAGAACAATGAAACTGCAAATTCACTTCATGCAAAGCTTTCAATCCCTCCAAGCCGGTCAA